TTTTTCCGCCTTCCTCATGGGGTGCAAAAGTGTATACAAGTATGAAGTGATTCTACTCTGATGATTCAAAACTTGCTGAGTAATGACATCTGCCTGCTAGTGCACAGGGGGGGTGGGGGAAATGCGCAAAAAAGGATAGCTACTTCGCCTCCTCTCGGAGGTGCAAAGCGAAGTGAAGAAGATATCCATTCATGTAAGCATCCCTCTTGGAAGTATAACATTTGTAACCCACGGGAAACAATTTTTTCACTACAATGTAGATATAGATGGAGATGGGTTTCAACTTCAGCTCCTCACTGTATTCACACCCTGTCGGATGAGAGACCCACGCCCCCCCCCTTCACTTCAAAGAAGAAACGACCCTCTGGCCCACGTTCATTATGCTCATAATTTTGTGCAGGTCACTTTTGAGCGAGGCATATTCGTTGCGAAGGTGTTCTATTTCTTCACTGTTGCTGGTGTGTATTTCGTTGATTTGGTTTACCTGCCCAGGGGGGAAGAGAAGTGCCGATGGCATAGCGGATGGCATAGCGGATGGTATATCGGATGGTATAGCGGATGGTATAGCGGATGGTATAGCGGGTGGTATAGCGATGCCATTGTGGATGGTATTGCAACTGACGTCGCGATTTGCACTCTGAACGGCGGTGTATTTGACGGCACAAACTGCGCAGAGTGCGATGGGCTTCCCCTCAGGTGATTACCAGTCGACCATGCTTCTTAATAATGGCCAGAGGGGACAATTCCTTCTTTTTCGTCTCGTCATTCTTTGTGACGAGTTTCCCTATGTGACCCCTTGGAGCATTCCGCGGTGGAGACTTCGTCCCGTCCACAGTGTACGCATCGTTGAGAACCCCACTTGTAATTTTTTTTTTGTTTATATTTTTGCCGGACGAAAGGGAGCTTTTTTTCGTACCGCCACTGGTAAGGACGCCTTTATTTATTAGTGGAGCACTATCGTCTGTTCCGTTTGGATGTTCGCGTTTGTCCATTGTCGCATCTTTCCTGTCCTCAAGGCTGATTTCTTTTTGTGTGAGCGTCGGTTCTTTGAAGTAGACGACGCTGCCGTTTTTTGGCTTCTTCGCGTTTCTCCCGTTTTGCCCCTTCTGAGCGACGCCATCAGAGGTACAGCTGCTGTCACCTTTCGAATTCTCATTTTTCGTCCCGAGGCAAAAGACCTCCCCCTCAGTTTCGACCGTCCTCTTGATATTACTGAGGATCGGATCGTTTCTGATTATCTGCTCGATGTCATTCTTCTTTATTTTATTTTTTAACAAACTTTTTTTTTTTATTTCTATTGAATTTTTTTTGAATTTAAACTTTGAGTTGTAGTACGAGTCACTGGACTCGTCGTCGGACAGGGTCGCCGGGGCGCTTTCCTTCGCCGGGGAGTCTTCCTTTACCGTGTCGCTCATTTTGCGGAGAAGTCCAGTGCGGGTGGGGGCGGCTAACCCGGTTGGGGAGTTAACCCGATTGAGAGGTGCCCCCGACTGAGAGGCTCACCCAGTTGATAGGTTCACCACGTAGGCGGAGGATAGTCTAACACTGCAATGACTTGCTCCGTCCTTTGGATACTCACCGGGGTTATGCTCTCCCATGTAAGGAGAGGTACCATTGTGGATTTCTCTCCATTTTCATTTTTTTTTTTTTTTCCAGCGCGACGATGACTTAAAAAAGGTTCCTCTCTCCCAAATTATGTTCTCCTCTTTAAGCGCGCAAAAAGAATGTCACATTTTGTGCATCA